GAGAGCGATAACACCAAATTTAACACACCTGCTCCCCATTCACACCTGAGACCTTGTAACACTAATGAGTCACATGACACCGGGGAGAGAAAATGGCTAATTGGGCCCAATTTGGACATTTTCACTTAGGGGTGTACTCACTTTTGTGGCCAGCAGTTTAGACATTAATGGCTGTGTGTTGAGTTATTTTGAGGGGACAGCAAATTTACACCATTACACAAGCTGTACACTTGCTATTTTACATTGTAGCAAAGTGTCATTTCTTCAGTGTTGTCACATGAAAAGATATAAAATATTTACAAAAATGTGAGGGGTGTACTCACTTCAGTGAGATACTGTACATGGACATAACACATTCCTTCAGAAATCTTTCTCTCACACACAGGCTACACACATGCACACACACACAAACGCACACAGAGTGTCTGGATATTCATTCCTGTTACTAGGTGTTCATTCCTGTTATGCACTGTTCATTCTAGTTATTAAATTGTTTTGTTCTAAAAAATGAGGTTAAACGACTGCTTTTTTCATCTGTGTTATGTTCATCATTTATGAGTAGCCGATGAGTGTGGTGTCGTCTGCAAACTTCAGGAGCTTGACAGAGGGGTCAGAGCGGAGGTTCGCCAGATGGATGCTCGGCAACGGCGTTCTGAATCCGCTCTGTCTGAGCTTGACGAGCGCGCCGGCTCGCTTCCCCCGTCTGCGCGTCCTGAAGCGTTTGATCAACACAGCAGCTCCGCCGACTACAATGTCCAGCAAAACATCAGAATAGTCGAAAACCGGTGAAATATCGGGTGGTGCGTACTGCCGAATGTCCAGCAATTCGTCTCTGGTGAAACTGATTGCAAGGATATAACTAAAGACAGGACAAACTAACAAAAACATAAAAACAACTGCGGAGCATGCCACAGAGGCAGCCATCAGCGTCGGATTACTTGGTTTCTCGGATTACTCGTCAGATTACTTGGTTTCAGTTTTGATGTAAACAAGATCTTCTCCACATTGATGTTCTCTTTTTCCGCAATATTTTGAATGAACAATGCAGCAGTGCCTCATCTAGTGGGTTCACCTGGATAGGCTAACAAAAACATTACAATGCAACAACACATACATCATCATTGCATCTCGTGCGCCACTGATCAGGCTGCCTAACGCACACCTAAAATTCAAATGCAGCATTTTTGCATTCAAATGTGGATTATTTAAAATTTGACCAATATTCAAAATTCGAATTTTTCTACTCTATCTACTTATCGCGCTCTGTTACTATCGGTTGCATCATACTATCTGATGCTCTATCTACCTATTGTGCTCTATAATGCTATCTGATGCTCTAGCTACATATCACGCTCTGTCTATCCATCTTTCACTCTCTCTACCTATTGCGATCTGTCGTTCTATCATGATCTGTCGCTCTATCTGTCACTCTATCCAACTATTGTACTATCTACCTGCCGCTCTGTCACTATCTATCTATCTATCTATCTATCTATCTATCTGTATAAACAGAAAGTTAGATAGACAAAAGCTAAAGAAAATGATTGCACAATTTATGTAAATGTTGATGTAGCATCTGTATAAATTATAACCTGCCATGACATACATACATAATCTCAGATTGTGACGTGTCATTGCTCCCTCCATTAAACTCAGCATTTGACAACTTTAAAATGACATCATGAGTTTGGAGCTTCATCCTTCCTGACTTTTGTTTACCTTGAAATAATTCCAGCATCTGAGTAAATCTGCCTTTCTGGCATTAACAGAGTTACATCTGGATTATTTTCATTGATGACAAACTCAACTGTGCAAATTAACATGTTCATTAGCAGCTGTTGGCACTGCCATCAGGAACTCTTTGGTGTGAATTCATTCTCAGCCAAAACTCATTAAAGCCGCGGTTGTCCTAGTCAATTTCACAACTAAAGACCGACACATTTCTTAATAAAAGACTAGCTTATTTTACATCATTCCATGAGTTATCGACTGAGGAGAGAGTGTTCATTAATAGCCAGAGAAGTGTGACGTAGTTTTGGCATGTGGTGTGATGCTTCCTGTCAGCTTCTGCAGTATGCTTCATATCAAGCTGCTAAATAATTCCACTGATAACAGATTCAGGAGTTAAAGCAAAAAAAAAGCCTGAGCCTGAACTTTTTTCCAGGGGTTGGGGGTTGCGGGGGCGGACACATACACAGGGTTATTTGGCAAACAAAAAAAGAAAATGATTTTCCTTGAAACTAACTAGTAACATATCTGCCATTGCCATTAGCCCTTGACAGGCTCAGACTACAGATTATGGTGGGATATTTGAAACAGCAATACCAAGAATGTTTACTCACTACAATATGGTGCAAACACATGTAACATTTAGGATGCTTTTGATATCAAGTTTTGCTGGTTAGCTTTGTCCTTGACAGGGTACAAGATGACCTACAATCTAAAACATGAAATTTCTGAAATTGTTTTGTTCAAAAGAAATAATGGTAAATTAAATACTAGGAAATTCATATAAAATAGGAAATATACAAAGACAGTTTACTACAGAAAACTACAGTTCAGTTCAATTAACAACAAAAACATTAAAATGGTCCAAGAACTGGTAACTTAAACAGGGTTCGTACAGTTACTGTCTTTGACATAAGGTCTTTGAGAAACTTATAAAGAACAACATTTGCTCCTCCATCCCTGATACTTTAGACCCACTTCAGTTTGCCTATCGTCCCAACAGATCTACTGAAGATGCCATTTCTCACGTCCTGCACTCTTTCCTCATGCACATTGGCAGCAGCGACTATAGCTCAGCTTTCAATACTATAGTCCCCATCAATATATTCCCTATATAACCATGTATGTGACAAATAAAAATCTTGAATCTTGAATCTTGATACTCCAAAATAAAATTCCAGGACTTTCAAGGACTTGCACTACTTTTTTGGTTTTCAAGGACTAAAATCAGATCTCACTTATCAATCAATATTGTTATTATCTTTCAAATTCTAATAAATAAACTAATAAAACAAACTGGTACAAATAAAGTGCAGCACATGCAAAGAATGCAATGACTGTGGCAACTTTAACATTTCAAAGGATACTATGGCAAAGTTATCACTTTCCTTATTCAAACTGATTTTGTCATGAATATATGATTGACCTGAAGAATGAAAGCTATATCATACACTTGGAAAAGTATGAGCTTTATCACACTCATAGACACTAGGGGTGTGGCAATAGTCTTAGCTCACAAGGTGAGACAAAATGCAGATACATGGTCCACTAGAACAAGACAATGTTTTAATACTTTAAGAAATTTTCAAATGACAAAATATTTGTATTTTAATCACAAATTTAAACAATACAGTTGTATTTTGAAATGTTTTAACTAATCTAGTGCTTAACTAATTATTTGTTTGCTAATCAAGTAATCTACTGATTATTTTGACAAGTGAGTGATGTTTTTTAGTAATACAAATAGAACTAAGTGGAAAAACAGGCTTTAATATGACTATATTTATATATAAAGTAACGATGAGGCAATAATAATTGGCCTCAAATAAAGTATTAATACCAAGTACATGGTTTTATTGAACACTGTTAAATACATAATGTAATATGCCTATATTATAACAAATACCTGCAGAGGGCACCAACGGCCAGGTGAGGTTTCATGTGATTCAACGACGTTTAAATCCATTTAATTTTAATATTTGGCCACATGCAAAGTCAGAAATTGTTATTTTGAAATCGGGATGTACTAAAAATCACATATTTAGAAATATGTTGATGTATTCTCCTGTGTTGGCATAGGTTTAAATGATTTACGTTACAAATCAAGTGAGTTTTCCCAGATGAACGTTAAGCAACCCAAACTCACCGCATATGCAAAGGAAGAGTTTAGCCCTTTTCACACATACAGTCTTTACTGGTAAATTACCGTTAAGAGATCATGTGTGAACAGGACCTTTTCAAAAATACAGGTAAATGCATTCTGGCAATCATATTGTTCTTATGGAGATGACGTGATTAATCGGAGCTGTTTACAAAGCTCCGCTGCTTTTCTAATAGCTTTTCTATGTAAATATAGATTACGCTAGATGGAAATCTTTGACCATTGCGCCTCACAGCTTTTTCAATGTGTCGCGCTTGAGACCCAGGCTTCTTTTCCATTCATCAGCTGCGACTCTGCAATTGGATACTATTATACGCGTCTCGTGTTTATAAGAGCAAAAACTTCTGATTGGCTAGTAATGTTAGTTTGGTTGAGAGTGAAAGCTGTGTTCCTCTTATACACTGGTAGGCAAACTCATGAACTCGAACTGATAGCACTAGGGATGCTCCGATCCGCCTTTTTCGCCTCCGATACCGATTCCGATACCTAGGGTTCGATTTTGACCGATACCGATATCAGTGAAGTTTTTTTCCCTCATTTAAATAAATGTAGAATTTATATATCTCTGTGTGTGGAACTGATCATCATTCTTTCACAATCTACTAGATACAGACTACTTCATTATAAAGAAAAATAAAATAAACAAATATGAAAAAATATAGGCCTATGTATATTTATAATCTATGACAAAAATGTATCATAAACTAGGTTAGTGGATAATTCGGCAGCAAAAGTTATTCTAGAAAATTCAGTGCACAATAATTTTAGAAATCCAAACATTTAGTGAAAAAACTATATTTTGTGGGGAACAAATAAAAGTGTTGCACTAAATATGGTAAAATGTTACACATTGCTATTTGTATTATTATAAAATCCATTCATTAAAAACATTCATGAATGTATTTATATATAAGTATATACTATAAAATTAAACTACATTTCTTTTAAATGTATAGCATATTTTTTAATAATAACATATGATAGATACGATAGGACTAAACAAATACAGTGCAGCACAAACTGTTTTTATACAGTCTATGAGCATGAAGCGCTTACAATGTGCGCATCCGGTGTGCAGAATGATGCGCTTGAAGCAACACGGCCTCACCGGATGCGCACATTGTAAGCGCTTCGTGCTAAAAACTGCAAAGCACAAAGGGAAGAGAAATTGATGCGTAGTGTATTATATCTGTGCAACAGTTATTGAGCCTTTCTTTTAACAATTTTAAATTTCAGTTAATGTGCACGTTAAAAACAATTTATAGTCTTTTCTACGCCCGTGTTTTGTTCTCACAGACATCCGGTAGCAAGTAACAAAACAACATTAAACTCCGGCAAGAAGATAAAGTCCTTTTTGCAAAATCATAGACATGCATTTACAAATCAAGTATAATGGGAACACAGAATGATCTTGGAGACTGACTGCTGTAACCGAACGCGACCAGGGTTTAAAGGCTGAACGAATGACTGACAGCCACAGCGGAGAAAAGAGTTTGTGTGAACTTTAATGTAAGGGCTTAAATATTCATATGTAGCTCACGTTAAGCCATCGTATGGCTTCAGAAGTAACAGAATAATTCGCACAATCGGGAAAAAAATAAAATAAAAATCTCGGATTTGGATCGGCCTGCTCCGACCGATACCCGATCCGAGAAAAATTGCACTATCGGAGCCGATACCCAACATGAATATCGGATCGGCGCATCCCTAATATCAACAAGTGTTTTCAAATGTAGGACGACTTTTTTTTTTCTCCCGCTGCCAAACGCCGCACGCCGGAGATCCGGCACGGTGCCGGAGAACTTTAAGCCCTGCAGATTGCAAAATAATGTCCAGACTGATTGTTACATATAAAGATCATCATCAGTGGTTGTACTGTTAGAAATTTAGATGGGTGTGTAGTATAAACATTATTGTTAGAAAAAGAAAGGAAAAGGGACAGAGACACAAAAGTTTTTCTCTCTCAAACACAAGCATTCTAGCAATGTTACCAGGCAACAGGCTATTGCTGTTATCTGAGCCAATGACAGATGAGTATTTATAAGGGAAATGGTGGACAGTGGAAAAAAAGGGCCATTTCTATTCATATTTTAAGAATAGATTGTTCAGGGCTACAATTACATCATTTCCCATTTACATCATAGCATGTCAATTATGATGCACAGCATAGCTGAAAATACTAAGTGTCATGTGGATATTATGATTTTTTAAAGATATTACTCACCCAAACTGGTTGTTTGGCTGTCAGATGGCATTCTGGGATGATTCGTCAAGTACCTTTAAAGGGATAAAATGAATTCATAATTTAGTCTACTATATAACAAAATGAGATTTTTTTTTAAAGAATCTCCACACAACTTATAGAAACCATGACGGTCATCTTCATAAAGAGACATGAAACGCATAAATGTATCATAAATGGTCCAAATGAATTGCATGCAAAAGTCTATTTTGAAGTCATATATTGCGTGTGAGAAACAGACTGATATTTAAGTTATTTAGCAATATTGTTGCCTCAGACGTGATCACTGTGAATAGTAATTAAGTAAATTATAGTAATTTAAATATAAATACTTATTTTTGGATGAAACATTCATTGTAACCTGAATGAAAAAAAAAAATGCAGGAAATGGAAAAACAGATTAAACAGGTAGCATTTGAAGAGAAGCCACTTTTGTAAATCTTGCTTTGTACTGAGAATGTGCTGATGTAAAGAGTACTGTGTAATGCTGTGATATGAAAGAAAGTGTGCAGCAATAAAGTGAGGAAGAGGTTGAATTCTTGAGGAGAGAGAGAGAGAGAGAGAGAGAGAGAATGATCACCTGCTGATTAATTGCAGTCTGAAGTTGTTTGCGTGGGATGGATTAAGCCTTCAAACATCTCTCGGCAGCTCTATAAAACAAGGCACTATGAAAATGTGTGGTGTGGGGGTTTACTAATTTCTGCTGCATGCTCATTCAACAGTCCTTAATATTTAATCAATATCTCACGAGTAACAGTGCTGTTAGTTACTGAATATATGTGTTATTTATTTTCACTCTGCCTGTTACGGGGCTGACGAGACGTGAGACGTGCGGATCCATGTGCAAAGCTTTATTGAGCAGAGAGGTCAGAAACACAGGCAGGGTCAAACAGTGGCAAACAGGTATATGGCGGGAAAGACACAAGAATAATCCTAGGGCTAGCGAAGGTCAACGAACG